GGTCTAGTCTGACCAACCTTCTATAACATGGTTTCAACCCTAAACAAACAGGGGATGCCGGTGCTTGTCACCAAATCAAACCTAGCCATCAAAACTATATTGGGTAAATTCTACTTAGATTTTTTGCAAGTTCAATTTTTTCTTCTTTAATATTTTGTGATTTCTTTTTTTTTTTTTACAATGAACACGTGAGGTGGTTGATTTTGTCTAATAAGATAATTAAAATATCCTTAATTCAAAATTAATTTATATATTCATATTTAAAAGTATTTTTATAATTTCACTGAAAAAACCTCCTTGTGAGAATAAAAATTATTCACATGGCACAAATAGATGAAAAAAATATTCACAGGATGTAAATTGAAAAAAAAATCATAAGTTATCATGTGAGAAAAATTAAAATCACAAAAAACGTAAATGAAATTTACCCAATTATATTATATTATATTATATATAAATCAAAATCACCACTTTTTTTATTTTAATAAAATTGGAGTCTGTCATTTTATTAGCAAGATGGGAATAAGAATTTTATTTTATTTTATTTTATTTTTTGCACTTGCTGCTGCTTCTTCCTTGATTTTTCATGTTGGCATTATTCACATTATTAGCCCTTATATAGCTCCTTTTTTAAAAGAAAAAAAAATAAACATTTAGAGCAGTTGTTCACGATGCTTGCATGTTCTATTCTTACTTTGAATGAAATCCATGCTTAATCCTGCTTCATTCATCTAAAATTAAATGGTTTAATTTTCGTGTTGGTTTCTTCCAAAATAATGTCTATTTCTTCTTTCTTTTCTTTTTTTTCCTTTTAAAGACTTAAAATCAAACACTTTCAGGTAAAAACTATACTGCACATGAATGATGAAACCACCTTCTTATCCATCTGATGATATATATGTTTTGGGTTTTCTAATTGGTCCAATTCTACATAGTTTCTAGGTTTTGTTCCTAATCCATTTTTATTACTAATCTATAAAATGATCATAATTAAGAAAATTCAAAGTAATTAAAAAATCACACACATTTTACTTTGGAAAGACCAAAAGGAAATGAATGAGTCAGAGCATTCCCCAGCTTTATATATTTTTTAAAGTACTATAGGGTGGGATATCTATTGACTATTGATATATAATAATGCATGGAAGTATGATTGAAAGCATAATCCATCTACCTTTCAAACTTTATGATGGGAATCTAAAATTACACTTTTGATGTTAATGAGGCCTGCCTGAGTCACTTTTGAAACTCTTAAATCTCTACCTAATTCCTCAGACCCAATGATCAAGTGTTAATTTGCTAGTTAGGTATGATTAAAAATTAAAAAAAAAAGTAAAGAAAGACTGCCCAATTAAATAAAGAATGATTCAACAATACTTATTCTAAATAAACGGTTTGTAGGATTTGCTTTTAATAAGAAACTTTTCAAGCATGAGTTTCCCTTTTATTATGTCATCCAAATACTTTTTTTTTTTTCAATAGAGAGCTTATACTAAACATTTGGAAGTGTTGTATCTTATATGTATATCGTATCATATAGTAAGAATAATTTTATGTGGATTAGAACGATTATTTAAATCAAGATCTTTGAAAATTTGCATATTTGGAATTGAAGTCGAACAATCATTAGTACTTAATTCTTAATGATGTTATTAACATTCATATGTCAAGATTAATCGGTTAATAGGGCGATCTTAATATATCTTTATATATATACTAAGATGGTGCCCGTAGCTACGCTACAGAAAATGTTACAGAAAATATAAATTATGTTGTATTGAATTTCAATTTGATATCTTCAAAAGGTAAATTATTTGTAAAGAAAAAGATAAATTGATATTAATTACAAAAAGTTATTTGTTTTAGTTTCAATCATGAGAAAATTGGTAAAAGATAAATTTATTTGAATAGTATATTTAACAGTAACAGTTCGTTAAGTAAAACGGACAATAAACTAATCAAAAGAGAACACCATAAGCAAATTAAATTATCCAAAAAAAGGTTCCTGCATTTGGTTAAACATAGTGATCATACTATTAGATGACTGTCAAATATGTCTTTTTCTCATTTGTTTGGTTTATGTTATTGTGTTGCTTCCGCTAGACCTGTTGTATACATGAAAAGAAAAAATTTGTTTAGTGTCTAATTTTTTATAGGCTTTTAAGTTAAATTAGTAAAAGATTTGAAAAGTAAGGTAATTAACATACATGATTTTTGATTGTTTTACTGATGGTTCTTCTTGGATTAAGTCCTCAATTGTTTTGGTTGTACCTTTTTCTGTTTCCCAACCATCAAGCAAGCTTTCTTTGACATTGTTACACTCAAAAACCTTGAATCCCAACAATTCTTGATCAATAGCTTTTGTTGTTAGTCCAACCTTGAATGTTCTCTTTGTGTTTATCAAGGCTTAAACAGGAGCTGGAAGAATCATTTTGTTAATTTCTTTGATGGCAGCAAGTTCTGCTATGGTTGCTCCAATTAACTTTTATGCTTGCGGACCAAAGATCATCAGTTGAATTTCATTAGTTGTATCTTGGATTGTTAGCTCCAAAATCATCCTGTTCGAAATAGATAAAAATATCATTAATGTCATTTTATGGAATAATATTTTGTTTGTGAATTTGATGATGGAGTTTTAGTTTTCTTACATCAGTACTGGTACTTTTTCATCATGGGTACTATACCAAAATTTGTCAGATAGATATTTCAATCTTTTTGCACATTCGTTGCATGCATTATAGTACCATCCATTTGGTGCTTCTATATTGACTATCATTCCTGTGAGCTCAAATTTCTTGTTCTGAAAGATAATGTAAATGTTATTGTTAATTTATAAATGGTTCTAGGTAAATAAATCTTTGTTGTTAAAAATATGATAGTATAGATAGATTTTTACCATTGTTTTCCTTGGTTCTATTGCCAGCAAGTCTTCAACTATTGCTTTTTGGATCGGAGTTGATTGAGTAATTTGTAGGGGATTTCCCTCTTTCATTTTTTGCAGCTGGGCATGAATTGGCTCATTTTGGTATCTGTAATTTTGTTTTGTCAGTGATAAGTAGAATACTTTCAAGGTTGTTTTAAATTAAATAATGTAATTTTTCAGTTTGCACAACATCACGTCGCCTTTAGTTCCTCTACTTCAGGAATAACAGGATCGATATAAATTTTGGTTGTAGAGCAGGAAGATGCATATATGATCCTACAAAATGTTATTAGTTAACTAACTATGGTTTTTTATGGTAAAAAGCTATGGTGATTGTATGAAACATTTGTAATGATCAACTTACGCATATAAGTCTTGATCATTAAACTAGCTATAGCAAGAACAATGTTTGGCTTGTTTCGAAGTAGTTCATCTTCATTTATTTCCAAGGCCAATTCTCCATACAACACAACTTTGATTGTACTATTACTATAAAAAGTTTATAACAAAAGAAACATGGTATGTTAAGTAGTCTATTTATATTAAAATGCCTATATTTACATGTAAAAATATTGACATAAAAATATATTATACACTCCTCATAGTAATTACTTGAGATTTTGTAGATACGTGTCCCTTTTGAGAACAGGAGTGCTTTTGTGATTCAGGTGGACTTTGTTTGCAGAAGTTATTGTTGTCAACACTCCAATGACATCTATAATTTTAGAATTGAAACAACATAGTGTAAAAGTTAGAAGTTAAATGACTGAATGTGTTTGATTATGTAGGATATTTGTTTTAATACCTGTCAAAACGTAGTTCTAGTATATTCTGTCATGAAGTTTGGTATAGTCTGTAAAGTTAAAATGATGAGTAGGATATGCAATTCCATCTTCATGAATTTGCTTCACTTGCGTTACTTTTGAAAAAACGATCATCAAATCACCAGGCAAAGCATTGTAGCTGGTTTTGCTTTTCATAACCCGAAATTTATCAATCAAATATACAAAGCCTTCTTTTAGAATAGATTTGAATTGTTGTGCATCTGAACTTCTCATCATTACTTGCATTACATTTTTCTGGAAGAGATAAAAACAATAAATTTGTATTTTAGTATATTATTAAAAAGTGTAAAGTAAGAAACATTTAAGTAAAGGTTTTGATTTTTAATAAGTTACCTTGATATCAATAACAATGAAATCAAAGCTCAAAAGTGTATGTGGATTATCCGGTGTTGTTGACTGTCAGATTCGTATGACCTTCACTTTCACTAGTTTTGGTGGTTTGTATAATTCCAAGTCACTTAGTTATTGCTGGTCCATTTCCACGTGTTGTAGTAGACTTAAAAAAGATTAATATATCAGTGCATAATGTAAATATAGTAATAACAAATGATGTAATTTAAAGAAGTTAAAAATTGAAATATAATGTAAATTATTTTTACAATAAGTTATTTATGAAGAGATTGTTAAATGTATAGAAAAATATTAAGAAACCAAGGCAATCAGGAATAAAAAAATTAATATCATATTGACTGGTCAGAGTGATACAAATATCAAGTAAAAGGCTAGAGTAACAAACATATATTTGATGAAAAAAAAAGCTTGAAACGAAGATCTGAATTTCATGACTTGTATTCAATACATAAACAAATGTGACCTTAACAGAAAAGAGTACCCAAATTGGCAATTGCATTGCATTGCATTCTAAGCAGCTTCCTAACAAATAAAGATTCTCGACATGCAAGATTAACATTTCAACTAAAAATTGTAGTTTGATTGCAAAAACAGAAACAACAATAGAAAATTTTTTCCATATCCATTGAAAATGGAATTTATAATGGTAACTGGTATAAAAATCATTATGTCAATATTAGTTTTGTTGTTCATTATGCATGAACTAAGAAAGAAGTGAGCTTAAAGTAGTAGGGCAGAGATGATTAAGTATTCTATTTTTAGCTGCACTAAATTAATAAATTATGCTTAAGGAAACTTTGATATTTTGGGATATCAAATGAGGGAAGATACTTAGTAGGAAAAAAAAGAAGTAATACCTGTAAAAGTATTGGAAGCAGTGGCTAAAGAGCTTTTGGAAGACAGAATCCAGGAATGACAACAGGCCTTCCTGCAAGTGAATACCCCAACAAATAAAGATTCTCGACATGCAGGAATAACATTTCAACTAAAAATTGTAGTCTGTTTGCAAAAATAAAAACGCCAATAGAAAATTTTTCCATATCCATTGAAAGTGGCATTTATCAATGTAACTGATTTAGAAATAATTATGTTAATATTGTTTTTGTTAGTGATTATACATGAACAAAAAAAGAAATGAGCTTAAAGTAGAAGGGTAGAGATAATCAAGTATTCTACTTTCAGCTGACCTAAATTAAAATGGGGGAAAACAGTGGCAATGGAAGACACTTAGGAGAGAAAAGAAAAGAAGAAATACCTGAAGAAATATGGGAAGTAGTGGTTGATGAGCTTTTGGAAGACAGATTCCAAGAATTATAATAGGCTTACCCTAAAAGAGAATACCCCAACAAATAAAGATTCTGGACATGCAAGAATAACATTTCAACTTAAAATTGTGATGGTAATTGGTATAGAAATCATTATGTCAATGTTGCTTTTGTCTTTCATTATACATGAACAAAGAAAGAAATGAGCTTAAAGTAGTCAGGTAGAGATGATCAAGTATTCTGTTTTTAGCTATAATAAATTAACAAATTATGGTTAAGGAAATTCTAATTTTTTGGGATACCAACATGGGTGAAAGGAGTGGTAATGGAAGGTTTTTATGAAAGCAAAGAAAAGAAAAAAATACCTGAAGAAATATTGGAAGCAGTGGTTGAAGAGCTTTTGGAAGACAAATCCAAGAATGACAACAAGGCTTCCCTGTAAGTGAATTAAACAAAACAAAAGATGTTCAAATTTCTTAGTTTTCCTTAAACCATTCATAACTGATAATTGTCACCCATAGTAGAGATTTGGAACTGAGCTGACAACCCTTGATAAAGCTTTCCAAGAAACCTGTTAAATTTAACATAAGATGCAAAATACTATATAGAAAAATAACAACAAACTATGAATAACTCATATCATATAACAACAGTAGTAGAATCTCAATTGCTAAGCAAAACAATCAAGGTAGATATCGTGTTTGGAGTTTAAAAAAAAAAAAGCAAAGGTAATCTTTTACCTTATGTACCGTCACAGTAAAGAGAGTTGGACTTGACAGGGGAGGAAATGGAAATTGTGTAGTGAGCAGAAAAGAAACTAAGAGCAGTTAGGAGTCTGATTGTTGAAAGAAAAGATACCAGAAATAACAAATAAGAAGAATATTGTAAAATTTGTAGTTGTATCTATCTTCATATATGCAATGAGAAATGAATTGGATATTGAGAAATGAGTAGTCTTTTTTTAAATTGAGTGTATTTATTTATTTAATGATGACTGTGTGCTATGTATACTGAGAAATGAGTAATCTTTTTTTATTTTTTATTTGATTCAATGAATTGGATAGATATTAATTGAGATTTAAACATTCATGTATAATAGTAAATAATATTTAATTGTAATTAATAAATATTGTATGAATCTATCTTTTAAGTATTAAAAGTAAGAAATTATTGTTTTAAAGTTTTTTTGCTAAAATAAATAAAAGCAAACCAAAATTTTTTTAAAAATTTTGTTCAATGAATTGAATGGATATTTATTGTATTTTAAATATTCATGTATAGAAAAGTTGTCTAAATACTATATTCTAATTCATGTAAAATAAGAGGATATAAATAGTAAATAATATTAGATTGCAATTAATAAGTATTATATGAATCTATTCTATAAGTATTAAAATTTAAAAACTATTGTTTTCAAGTATTTTTTTATATTCGAATGATATAACTTGCATTGTATCTGAATATACATCTAAACAGTTAGTGGAAGATGAGCCTGACATCCTATATATGCAAAGTTAAAATCATTAATACATGATTGTTTAGGCAAGACTCATTAGGAAGTATGTATTAATCAAAATGCAAGCAATGGGTAAGAAGGGAACAAATGGGCAAAGATGAGAGACATTAAAAGCATTCCCCAATACTAAATTGTCATGCATGTTTATTGCATAAAACTTAAACATACCTCCTGTGGCTGAAGCTGTGCCTTACTTCATCCTAATTTAAAGATACTAGAATAATCAAACTGCAAATAAAGAAGGCTAGTGCAACCAACACAATCATTAAAGGCATAATAATCTTTAATTACAAACTATTACAGATCTTACTTAAGGTGTTATTCTATATTGAAGAAAACAATAAAGTTATTGATCTTTTACTGATCAATATAAAAAGAAAGAAATAATATGTGGTTGTTAGCCTATCATCCTTAAGCATGTTAAAATCATGTCCAACCATCCTGAAAATTCGAAAATTAGAATTCCAATGTTTCAACTAAAATTAAGTCAAGAAGACTCACCTAATAAAATTGAATCAATATTACTCACAAAAAAGCAGAGGAAAACAATTGGGTATAGTTGTAGTGAATCCTATTCATTCAAGCCAAACTAACCTTTGATGGCATGAATCTTCTTTGGCTGAAAAGACTAACATTAGCTGTATCTACCATAGTTTCAAACCGCCTATAGTAGTCTAGCCATTTCTGCAAGCAAATAAATACAACTTTATCAAAATTTGCATACATGATTAAAGCGATTGAAAAGAGATCAAGAAGCTTTTCATTCTTAAAATTTTTGAAATCTGAAATGCTTCTTTCTCTTTATATCTATAAATGCAAATGATTCAGCAAAGTTCTCCATTTCTACAGGATCAAGATCTATTAAAGCCAACTTTTCCTCACAACATTTACATAATGCATCAGCTCCAATAGCTGTATATGATATATTCCATCTACCTTTATCCAACCAGGCCTGCCTATGCCAACCTTCTCCTCCATTTTCAATTGCTTTCTTTATAAATCTCTGATCCATGGTTTGTTTCCCCAATCTTGAGGTTGCCTTGCTCTCAAACCATTTCACAATTATATCTGCAGTAGAAGGTGACATTTTTCTCACACTCGTTTTTACTTTATGCAATAAGTAACACACATTGTCACCTTTTCCCGTTTCTGTACTTACTTTTAAGAGTGCCTCCAATTCAGGCTCTTGTGCATGAATACTATGCTCGAGCATGCCTTTCTCAACATCAAATGCTTTGTCAACATCTCCAGTATTGTAGAAAACACTTAGAGCAGGACTATAAGAACGCAATTTAGGATTTATACCTGATTGCGTCATTTTCTTTACCATATCAAATGTCATGTGACCATCACTTATTGAAATTGCCATTCTTCCCTCAGCTGTTAAGGTTGTTTCGTTCATTGGGATATTATCCAAACACATCTTTTCATAGATCTCAAATCCCTTGAGAAGGGCATAGGAAAACAACATCAATTGTAGTTTCATCTATTTGTCTGCTGAAGCCTAGCACGTCATTAAGTGGTTATTAAATCAAAGAATTGCCAGTTACCAATGAAATATTAAGAAAATGCAAAATGACATGGTTCATCGAAGCAGTTTAGAATGTAAAAGAGAGAATATATATGCAATAATGTAATTTGTTCAGATTTTACAGATGAAAAAGTACCTTCATAAATTATGCAGATTGATGTAGCAGCTTTAAGATTGACATTTACTTGAAACCTTCACTAAAGAAAATTGTAAGGAAGAGAGAAAATAATCTGTAAGCAATCATATAGTAATTGGGAATGTACTATTTTATAATTAAGTAAAGGAAAAGAAAGTCTACCCTTAATGTAAATTTTGGAAGATTTCTTTGTACACTACATTTTTAGTTTTAGTCAATTGTTGTTTATCTTCATTCAAAATTAAGATCTTCAATCCTTATCGTGATGTAACAACCCACGCATCCCTCTTTTATGCTATGAATAAAGCATTAATTAAGAGAGAAAGTAGGTACCAGTGGAGGAGAGAGAGTCCGATACGACAGGTGAGGAAACAAAAACTGACCGGCGAATAGAAGAAAGACTAACAACAATTGGGGATGTAAAAGACCTA